GCCTACTTCGATGGCTGCGACCGTGAGAGGTTTATAGACAAGAAGGAACAGTTAAGCCAACTTAAGAGCAGGCAGGAAGAATTTCAAAAAGTGTTAAAAGCTATGGAAGGAAAATGGGTAACAGATCAGTTGAGATGGGAAATAATGTCCTGCAAGATGAGGATTGACAGCTGAAACAAACAATATGCAAAGGAAATGAAGAAATGAAGAAAAAGATCCGGCGGATGTATCTTCAGAGAGGGACAGTGCCATGACCTCCAGCACCATGAGCAAGCTTGCTGAAGCCTGGAGGACGACTTACCACTCAGGAGATGGCTCTGTGACGACCACAATGGGGACAGCAGCAGCAGCATCCCAGGGCCTTGGATTAGCCTCCCCAACAGCGGGGCCTACTCTGCCTACTCTAATTGGGTGGAAGAGAAGAAAACCACGCAGGGGCCTGGTGAGGAGATAGTGTTTGGAAACTTTTATAATCATGTATTTTTTTAATTGAGGTAAAATTTATATAACAAAATGAACAGTTGTGAACAATTAAGTGGCATTTAGTACATTTAACTGTTATAAAACCATCACCTCTGTCTAGTTCCAAAACATTTTCATCACCCCACATCACCCCACATGGAAACTCCAGGAGTGAAGCAGTAACTCCCAGCACCCTCCTCCAGCGGAGCCCTGGCAATCACTAATCTGCGCCCTGCCTATAGTTGTGTCTATTCTGAGCATTTCATATAAATGGGATCATACCAAAAAAAGAGAATGAAATGAAAAACAGCAATTCCTTTTGTCATTTCAACAAAAAGAATAAAAAACATATGAATAATTTTCTAAATTTAATTTATGAGGGTGACACTGGTTAACCCTAGGGGGTGAGTGTTAGGATCACCCCACCAGGTAAGTCATTCATAACACAATTAATAATCAAGGCTGAGGAGAGTTGAGAATGGATAGCAGAGGAGAGAGACATTGAGTATCAGTGTGGCTTTAATACCCCCTACAATATCAGAAGCTATAATTCTTTCCACTGATCATCCTGTATTTTAATGCATCTCACTCAACCTCTCCCCTAAAAGAGACCTACTGTAACCATGGAAGAGCTTCTCAAAAACTTATGCAAGAAGTTGATCCAGTAAATCAAAGATGACGCACACTATGATTGTCAGTGACTTCTATTGACTGCATCCTGTGGATTATGTAGTCAGCACTTCCTGTGTATTCAAATGCCTGCACTAAATTTGGTCATTGTCTTTGAAGCTGAACCTGTTCCATTACATTTTTCTTAAACCCTCTCATGTTCCACACTGCCTTTACACTGTGCTTTATACTCTCTCCTCCCATTCCCACAAACATGATAAGTGGTTTATATTGTCACCTATTTCCCCCCAATTCTCACTCTTCAAACCCCTCTACCTGGATTGTTTCTGTCTCTGGTTCTCTATTTAGAGGTAGTAAGTGGAGCCCTCATTAATGTCCACAGAAGGTCCATCTCACCAGGAAATGCCAAGGACATTTTTCAGTCCTTGTTTGACTGGTCCTTTCCACAGAACCAAACTATTTACAGCTCTGCTTCTCCTGTGAAAGGACCTCTTTGCTTTGTTGATATTGTGGACACCAAGTAATCCATGAAACTCCAAATGTTCTTCAAAGGAAGAACATCAGAGAAAATTGGTGTGTGAGACCATTAAACATTCCTTAGGAGACACCTTGCCACTTTTCAGTCAAATCAAAGAAAGAAGTGTTTCTCCTCAGAGAAAATAAATGTAATCTCCCCCCTTTGATGCTTGTACAGACACAGCATCAGAGAAAATTTTTCCATTCTTTCATCTTTGCTCCCCCTGGGATCTGAATTGTTTGGAGGATGAAACAACAATAGAACAATTTTCTTAATGAGGAGCTCTGAGAATTCAACCCTTGAGGTGCTGGAAATTTTAAACTTGTACCTTTTGCTGCTTTCCTTAATTCTCTGAACCCAGGCAAATAAAAACTCAACTGGGCTTCCCAGAGACAGACCTTGGAGAACAGAAGGCTTCAGTAGTATCCTGCAGAGAAGGTCCTTGTATTCCAGTGAGGGCTGTTGGAATGAAAAGGAAATGAGACAAGTGGGTACTGGGCTTTACCTCTGGAATAATTAGACTGGGACAGTCCTGTAATATTTAGCTTACTACAATGAAGTCGCTGTACTTTGAAGGTATTTTAGTTTCCACTGAACCCTGTCTTTTCCAGCTTTTGGCCTGTTTCCTTCTCTGTCTTCAGAATCAAGAGATCTCCACAATGAGAATTGTTTTCCTGAGTATCTCCAGCTTTATTCTAATCTTTCCCATAATTGTAGGCTCTTCTTGATTTCCGTGTTCAACCATTTATTCATTAAATGCTCACTGGAGATCTATGCATGAGGTCTTATCTATGCTGTTCCCAATGTGAGTGAGTCTCTTTAATGTATTACTAATCTATTTTGCAGCAGATCTGACTCACTGATAGCACTTAGTAGTTCTCTATTGGTGTTATTGTTTCACCTTAGTGTCCACAATATTAGCTACAATTAATATAATTATTTCTTATATTCAGTACTCAGGCAAGTTTTCCCCCTCATTTTACCAATTTCTTTAGATGTACAGCAGAATATCAACTAATTGAAGATAAAGTTTACTGCATTAGTCTGTTCATGATTTTAGCACAACTATCCTAGTGAGTTAATGTAGAATATTCTGATAACCACCATACTATTGTCCATGTTTATAAGTTTGTTTTGTTTCTTTATCTGTTGATTTCTATTGTCTGCAGTTTTAAAACAGCTGGTATTGAGTTAAGAAATTGCCACTGTTTTCCTCATTTAGCAGGAGGAAAGCAATTAATTACATGATGAACTGGAAGATTTCCCTTTTGTGTTATAGTTGACACTTTGGTCTCAAACTTTACTATACATCTAACATACACTGAGCACCTACTACGTGCCAGGCACCAGATAGGTCCCTGAAAGGACAATGGTGAGCAAAAACAGTTACAACTTATAACCCACAAATGAGCTTAAAATTACCAACCTGAGAGGCACTTTAAGGAATATTGTGGAATGCTCAAACTGTGGGACTCACACATTCTGTCCCTCCTGACCCTAAGGACCTGTTCTCTATCTCACGGTTCTCTGAAACCCTTTCTGATACCAAGTTCCACATGGTCTTAAAAACGTATTTCTTTTCTTATTGATCATGACCATTCTAACAGGTATGAGGTGATATTTCAATGTGGATCTTATTTGCGTTTCCCCAATAGCTAGTGAAGTTGAGCATTTTTTCATGTGTCTATTGGCTATTTGCATGTATTCTTGGGAAAATTGTCTGCCCATTTTTTAATTGAACTGCTTGAGGTTTTTTTTGTTATAGTTGAGTTGAATGAGTTCTTTATATGTGTTGGATATTAGCCTCTTTAGTGGAGGCATTGTTTGCAAATATTTTCTACCATTTGACTGGTAGAAACCTGCTCATCATTATGGCCTTTTATTTTCAAATCTTAAATTTGCCTTTCAATTTTTAGGGTGATTTCATGTATAGGCACTTTGAATACTTTCACATGAATTACATTATTTTTTCAATTAATTCCACTGATTTTAATAAACACATCTCCACTTGAGAGCATGTACACATGATCTCACACATGCTTTCTATTTTTTCGAGGTAGTGTGCTTTTGTTCTTTCCTAGTATTTATGTAGTCCATATGCATCTACCTCTTCTTGGAAGAATCTACTTGGCAGGCAGTCTCTGAAATAAGAATCCATAAGGATCTTCATTAATTAGAAGTGTTGTGTGGTGATAAAAAATAAAAAAAGATAGCAGACCTGTTGTTTTATAATGATGACTGCACAGTTTAAGAGAAATACTAAAAATGGTGACCATGCAAGACAGATTTATGGTGATGTTAACAACAGAAATCACTTTTATCAAGTGTCCACTGTATGCCACAGAGACTACACTAGAAAAATTATACACATGTACCACCTCATTTAATCACTCATCTGTCTTACAATATGGAAAATATTTCCTAATGTCATTGTGTAGGTGAGGTATTAGTAGCTGAAAGACATTAAATAACTTTGTCAAGGTCACAGACATATAACATGGTAGACGAAATTCTATTCCACGAATTCTGACTCAAGATCCTACTTTCTAAATCACAGCTCTATACTGTACTTTGGAAGAGTTATATATCAAACATAATTGAGCCCTCACCAGTTTGGCTCAGTGATTACAGCGTTTGCCGACTGACTAAAAGGTCACTGGTGCAATTCTGGTCCAGGCCATGTACCTCAATTGCAGGGGAGCATGCAGGAGGCAACCAAATAATGTGTCTCTCTCACATTGTTGTTTTTCTCTCACTCTGTCTCTCCCCTTTTTTTTTACTCTTTCTAAAAATCAATGGGGGAAAATATCCTCGGATGAGGCTTAACAAAAAAAACAATAATTGAGATGAAGGAATGGATTAATAATGATAATAACAGCTATATTTTATCAAGTTGTTACTGTGATTAAAGGCATTTTTGTACCTCAGAAAGATGGTAATAGCAGTAACCACATTTTAAAAAGAAACACAGGAAGGCACATGTAGAGTTAATTGTGACATCAATACAAAGCATCAGGTTACAGAATTAAGGTTACATGAGTTGAAAACACATGTTTTAATCACTATTACAAAATGATATTATCAAAGAAAAGACCTTAAATGCCTTTAGCTATTTTCTAAGGCTCATATGAAAGAAGAAATTGGTATATGTCCACAAATTTGGATAATAGAATTAGTGAGGGGAACATAAAGAGAGAGAGAAAGATTTCTGCTAAATTAAAGAAAGTTTGAATAATTACACAATTTTAAATAAAATTGGATTACCACTTGAATGAGTGAGTCACTGGCATAGGAATGACTACTAGATCATGTAAGATGTTCATGCAAAGGTGAAATCAAAATGTGATGAATAACGGAGATGCCACTTGGCTGTTTATTGAATGTTGTCTTGGGTTTTTTCTTTATAAGACACACCAGCTGCATGGAAGCAGAAAACCACACAGAAGTGTCACAATTCCTCCTCCTGGGTCTCTCAGATGACCCTAAACTGCAGCCCCTCCTCTTTGGAGTTTTCCTGTCCATGTACCTGTTCACTGTGCTTGGAAACCTGCTCATCATTGTGGCCGTCAGCTCTGACTCCCACCTCCACACGCCCATGTATTTCTTTCTCACCAACCTGTCCTTTGTTGACATCTGTTTCACCTCCACCACGGTCCCAAAGATGCTGGTGAATGTCCAGGCACAGAGCAAAAACATCTCCTACATCGGATGCCTCATTCAGGTGTATTTTTTTATGATTTTTGCTGGAATGGACAACTTCCTCCTGACTGTGATGGCCTATGACCGGTATGTGGCCATCTGCCAACCTCTGTACTACATGGTCATCATGAACCCACACTTCTGTGGTTTTCTTGTTCTTGTGTCTTGGCTCATCATTTTCTGGGTCTCCCTTGTTCATATTCTATTGATGAGGCAGATGACATTCTGTATGGGCACAAAAATTCCACATTTTTTTTGTGAACTGGCTCAGATCCTCAAGGTGGCCTGCTCTGATACCCTCATCAATAACATTTTCATGTATGTAGCTGCTGTCCTATTGGTTGTGTTTCCTTTTACTTGTATTATTTTTTCTTATTCTAAGATCGTCTCCTCTTTAATGAGACTATCCTCTACAGGAGGGAAATATAAAGCATTTTCCACCTGTGGCTCTCACCTCTCCGTGGTCTCATTGTTCTATGGGACAGGCCTGGGGGTTTACCTCAGTTCTGCTCTGACCCATTCTTCCCTACACAACTCAGTTGCCTCAGTCATGTACACCGTGGTCACCCCCATGCTGAACCCCTTCATCTACAGCCTGAGGAACAAGGATGTTAAAGGGGCCCTGAGAAAGCTCCTAACACTAGCAGCATCTTGTCTGAGATAGTGCTCTGGCCTTAGAACTAAGTGTACATTGTGTGCCCAAAGGTAAATGTTGCAAATTTAAATACCTAGCTCTTTTTCACACCTCAACAATAAGCTTGATTTTGTTTATTTCCAAAGCATGTGTGATTTCACATTTGTTTGTTTCTGTATTAGTTTCTTTTCAACAACTCTCTTGTGAATTCCTTTTTTACTTTTCTTCCCTGTATGGTGTCCACAATGTTCCATGTTTAGTCAGCATTCCTGCAGCTATTCTTAATTTAAAGCACTTATCATATCAAGCGCTGACTTAGTTTCCCAAAATGTTGTATTCATATGTTGCTGATCTTCACCTTAATTGGGTTGTTTGCTTGTTTTTTTCCAGGAGAAAATATATTAAAATCATACAGTAATCAGAACAACCTGCTTACGATATTGGGATGCTACTTGTTTCTTCACATAAATGACTTAATTTTGTCTTGAAAACATTTCTTTGAGATTATTTTCTCACTTCACTTTTCAAAAAAAAGAGGCTGAGATTGAGTTGAACTACAGCCTAGCAAGCTGACTTTACTTTCCTACCTTACATAGGAACTTTTATGTGATTTTCTTTCTTTTTTAAAAAAAAAATTATATTTTTTTGATTTTTTAAAGAGAGGGAGGGAGAGGGATAGAGAGTTAGAAACATCAATGAGAGAGAAACATCAATCAGCTGCCTCCTGCACACTTCCTACTGGGGATGTGCCTGCAACCAAGGTACATGCCCTTGATCGGAATCAAACCTGGGACATTTCAGTCCTCAGGCCGATGCTCTATCCACTGAGCCAAACTGGTCAGGGCTGATTTTCAAATTCAGAGTAGGAATCTAGATTTGAAAGATGTTGTCTTCAGATGACATATAAGAATTTACTGACTCAAAAACTGAGATATGTCATACTTTGTGATTCTTCTTTCCATCCATCATCCTTCCTTTCCATTTTTATTTGACTTATATTTTCCTTTATTACAATTTTGAGATATACGCTATAAGATCCAAAATCAAATAATAATGAACACAGTAAAATAAGAGTTGTTTTCTCACGTGATTTAATTTATTTCTGGAACTTTGTTGTGGTGCCTCGGGAATATTAGTTACAGATATGTGGAACATGTTTAGAACCTAATTCACTTTGGGGAGAAAATGTTGATAGAATTGAGTCGGCAAGGAAGCACGGAGGAGTACGTGCTGCCAACATTCCCTGGGATCCTCTCACCATCTCTATTGCATGACTTCCAACATCCAGCACCAGCTGGCACCTACTTTTTCAATATATGATATCAGAAGTGATAGGGAAATATTTCCTGTCAGAGTCAGCTCTTTCTTAATAGAATACATTTTTAATTGATTTCAGAGAGAAAGGGATGGAAAGAGAGTGATAGAAACATCAATGATGAGAGAGAATCATTCATTGGCTGCCTCCTGCAGGCCCCCTGCCAGGGATCAAGCAGGAAAACCAGACAGTTGCTCTGGAGCTCCATTTAACTTTTAAAAACTGCCAAACTGACCCAGCTGGCATCGCTCAGTGGCTGAGCATTGACCAATGAACCAGGAGGTCATAGTTCTATTCCTTGTTGGGACACAAGCCTGGGTTGCAGGCTTGATTCCCAGTGGGGTGCCTGCAGGAAGCAGACAATCAATTATTCTCTCTCATCATTGATGTTTCTATCTCTCTCTCTCCATCTCCCTTCCTCTCTGAAATCAATAAAATTATATTTTAAAAAAATAAACTGCCAGAATATTTTCCAAAGTGGCTGAACCAATTTATATGCCCACCAGGAATGTGTGAAGATTTCAGTTTTTCCACATCTTTGCCAACACTTGGTATTAAGGAAAACATTCTACTAAGAGAATACGCTTGAGTGTTCAATAATAGAGTATGAGTAGAAATTTAATGAAGAGTAGATTTGGGTCATATTCAAGAGACATTCATGAGTGAGGCATATCAGAAAATATATGGAACTTGTAGGTCAGTTATTAAAAATAAATTTGGATACATAGATGGGAGATAGACTGTCAATAGTATAATTTGACCTACTAAGGATTTTATAAGCAAACTAGAGGCCCAGTGCACTAAATTCGTGCACTGATAGGTCCCTAGTGGCTGCCAGCTGCTGGACAGGTACTCCCTCCCTTCTCCCGGCCAGCCCCACCTCCTGGTTGAACTCCCAGAAGAACTCCCTGTTGAGGGGACAATTTGCATACTACACTTTTATTATATAAGATTGGCACCAGGGCCATGTTCTCATTGTTAACATAAAAACATTCAAACCTGTAAAGAATTTTTGTGAGTTTATTTGAGCGAAGCTGTTGACAATTGCCGGGAAAGAGAACCTCAGTGGATTGAGATAATGCTCTGGAGAATGGCGGGTTATATTTATATTCATACATTGCAATCAAAGGACGGTGGACATCAACAGCAGAGATGGAACTGGAGAGCATTATGCTAAGCAAAATAAGCCAGTAAGAGAAAGATGAATATCACATGATCTCACTCATTTAGGGAATATAATGAACAACATAAACTGATGAATGAAAACAGATCCAGAGACAGAGAAGCATTGATCAGACTGTCAAACCTCAGAGGGAAGGTAGGGGAGGGTGGAGGTAAGGGGAAGAGACCAACCGAAGGACTTGTATGCATGCATATAAGCCTAACCAATGGACACAGACATTAGAGGGTGGTGAGGGCATGAGTGAGGGGGTGGGCAATGGGGGGATAAAGACACATATGTAATACTTAATCAATAAAGAAAAAAATAATGAAAAACAAGACTAAGGAAGGGTCATAGGTGGGTTACATGAAATCTATTGGTGATAGACTAGAGAGGAGGGAGAAAGTAAAGTAAGGAAACCCCTGGAATTGGATAAAGAGCAAAATGATAGACACATACTTGGGTGAGTGCAGAAACAATTAACATGATAATTTGTTTTATTTGTCCTGGCGCCCAGGCATGTTAGGTTGTGTCCCAAGGGGTCCAGAAAAAGGGAAGTTACAAGTTACCCAGACATTTCAAGGGTATGTTATTATAGATGCAAAAAGACAGAGAAGCTCAGTTAAGGTAAAGCTTGACTGCTGGGGTTCTTAATCTGGCATCAAGAAGGGTTCAGAAATCTGGAGAAGGGCTGTGCATAAATTAAATAAGAGTCCAGAGACGAAACGTAATTTTGAAAGGCATTAGGGAGTCAGAGAAGACTTAGCTAAAGGAACTAAGTTCTCCTTGTTTCAGGACCCCTTGCTTTTTATTAACACAACTAGAGGCCCAGTGCACGATCAAAATCGCACAAGGAGGCACCCTGCCTCCCACCTCCTGCTGATCAGTCATTATAGCATGACAGGGTGACGACCATTGGCATATTAGCTCTTTATTATATAGGATTTGTTCTAAGGCAAGGTAGAGATATATACTTCAAAGGGTAGGGTTAGGTACAGAATCCATTGTCAGATTGGAAGAATTGCCTACGGCTGTTCAGGTGTTTGGCCAACAGGGGGCAATAACATGTAGATTGAGATGCCCTTAGCTGTCTGGCAGCCAGCAATTAATTTAAGCATCCTTTTCAGGTTTGGGGAAATGCCCTTGCCACTCCAGATGATTCAGCCCTTGCTGACATGCTGGAATTGGCTTCCAGGAGTTGACCTTGTCAGTGTAGATACCGACCTAGGAGGTGACTACCCACCATAACTGCTTTTAGTTAAAGTTTAATTTCAGACCATCCTTTGTGGTTACTTTAGTTCTCTGAGTTTGCAAGACTGCCATGCAGGGCTTCCATGAACTTGACATGTTAGCATGTGGCCCCTTTTGTCCACATCATCTTTAGTATAATGTGAGGACTTTATCATTTCCCTGACTGGGAGAAATTTAAGGTACAGGAAACAATAAGGAGGCTACTGAAATAGTCCTGGGGAGAGATGATGGGGAGCTGATCTAAGCCAGTGGCAATGAGATGCGTACATTTTTTAGAGAGGTGTATTGGTTTCCTATCGCTGCTATAACAAATTGCCATAAGTCTAGTGGCTTAAAAGGACTTACAACCCTAGAGATCAGAAGTCTAACATGTATCAGTAGGGCTGCTTTCCTCCTGGGAATTCCGAAAGAAAATCTCTTTCCTTGCCTTTCCCAAATTCTAGAAATCTCCTGCATTCATTAGCTTGTAATGCCTTCCTCCATCTTTAAAATCAACAGTAGAACATCAAATCTCTCCCTAGTCCCTCTAACTTCCTCTGATAAGGACCCTTGTAATTACATTGAGTTCACCCAGATAATTCATGATACTTTCCCCATCGGAAGATCCTTAACTTAATCATATTTGCAAAGTGCCTATTGCCATCCAAGCTAACATATTCACAGGTTCTAGACTCTAGAATCTAAAGCTTAATACTTGAAAATCTTTGGGAGGTTATTCAACCTATGACAGGACATGTGTATGAAATAAAATTTCCCAACAATTGACCCATAAGTACTGAGCTGAGAAGGTGGAAAAGCTCTCTTGCTGATTTTCTTTGAACATGACCATCTCCTGAACCAGTCTCACATGGAGATGAGGCCGCACTGGACAGGTGAGCTTTGGTGGCAAGTGACAGATAGAGAATCTCCTGATTCATCTGAACCTAGCGGAGCAGAGGCTCAGCTGTGCACTGGCACAACTGCACACAGGGTCTCAAACACCATGAGGGTTTCCTTTCAGATTATCAGCTTTATTTTCTCAGACTGGTTACCTCTACATAAAAAGAGACTGGGAAACAGGTGCTCTCACTACTCACATCTGGTAACTTCACTACTTAATAGAAACTAGATGTATTTAAGCTCCTTTGTGTTAAAAAAAAAATACTTTGAAAACGATTCTAATTGGCACAGGCATGTCTTCTTTGCACGTTGAGTAATATACTACGGTCAAGAGACACTGTTACTGGTAGACCCTTCAGTACCACATTTGTTTACTCAACTTACCAAACCTATATTTACTGATTATTTTAGGCTCAACTGCCA